TCATTCATTTCATTCATTCATTTCATTCTTTCATTTCTTTCATTCATTCATTCCATTTCATTCATTTCATTCATTCATTTCATTCATTCATTTCACTCATTCATTTCACTCATTCATTTCACTCATAAATTTCACTCATTCATTTCATTCATTCATTTCACTCCTTCATTTCACTCCTTCAGTTCATTCCTTCATTTCATTCCTTCATTTCATTCCTCCATTTCATTCATTCCATTTCATTCATTCCATTTCATTCATTCCATTTCATTCATTCCATTTCATTCATTCCATTTCATTCATTCCATTTCATTCATTCCATTTCATTCCTTCATTCCTTCCATTTCATTCATTCCATTTCATTCATTCCATTTCATTCATTCCATTTCATTCATTCCATTTCATTCATTCCATTTCATTCATTCCATTTCATTCATTCCATTTCATTCATTCCATTTCATTCATTCCATTTCATTCATTCCATTTCATTCATTCCATTTCATTCCTTCCTTCCTTCCATTTCATTCATTCCATTTCATTCATTCCATTTCATTCATTCCATTTCATTCATTCCATTTCATTCATTGCATTTCATTCATTCCATTTCATTCAATCCATTTCATTCAATCCATTTCAATCATTCCATTTCATTCATTCCATTTCATTCATTCCATTTCATTCATTCCATTTCATTCATTCATTCATTCCATTTCATTCATTCCATTTCATTCATTCCATTTCATTCATTCCATTTCATTCATTCCATTTCATTCATTCCATTTCATTCATTCCATTTCATTCATTCCATTTCATTCATTCCTTTTCATTCATTCCATTTCATTCATTCCATTTCATTCATTCCATTTCATTCATTCCATTTCATTCATTCCATTTCATTCATTCCATTTCATTCATTCCATTTCATTCATTCCATTTCATTCATTCCATTTCATTCATTCCATTTCATTCCATTTCATTCCATTTCATTCCATTTCATTCCATTGCATTCCATTGCATTCCATTTCATTCCATTTCATTCCATTTCATTCCATTTCATTCCATTTCATTCCATTTCATTCATTCCATTTCATTCATTCCATTTCATTCATTCCAATTCATTCATTCCATTTCATTCATTCCATTTCATTCCATTTCATTCCATTTCATTCCATTTCATTCCATTTCATTCCATTTCATTCCATTGCATTCCATTTCATTGCATTTCATTCCATTTCATTCCATTTCATTCCATTTCATTCCATTTCATTCCATTTCATTCCATTTCATTCCATTTCATTCCATTTCCTTCCTTCCTTCCTTCCTTCCATTTCATTGATTCCATTTCATTGATTCCATTTCATTCATTCCATTTCATTCATTCCATTTCATTCATTCCATTTCATT